GGAAGGAAAGAAGGAAAGAGAGGGAGAGGATAAGACAGAAGAAAGAGAAGAAAATAGGGTACTTTGATCTTTCAACCATCTTTTCATAGAACCAGTCTCTTTAAACAATCATGTTAATTCAAAAGCCTATTTTACTATTCCATATTTTTAATGGTCTTTTTCCCCCCCTATTTTTTCCTAACATTTATTTAACAGTGACAACAAGAAGATAAACAAAAGGAAAGGTAATTATACGACTATCAAAGCATCCTTATATGGTAATCTAAAGATAAAAAGGCGCCTAATACTACTTCCGATCCTTAATATAAGACTCTGTTTGATTTTTATTTTGGTTCTAAATATAAGACTCCAATCTACTTTGTCTCTCATATTTAGATATTTTTTTCTAAGATAGTCCTTCTAATAATTGTAGTCCTAGTTAATATAATTAATTAGTAAGGATATTTTAGGAAAAACAACACATATTTATTATAAATAACTAACTTAACTTCTTTCTTTAATCCCCTCAAATTAGTCAACTGGGTCTTATAATTAGGATCGGAGGTAATATAATATTTTAACCAAACAAACAAGGACACAAGACTTTCAACCAAAGGCTAAAGTTTGTCATCCCGAAAGCTTCAGGAAGTTTAGTCATAATAAACAAGCTAGGTTAGCAGTTTAGAACCTAGATTCATCAAAGGCGGTGGTTTGGTGGTTACTAGTACCCTTTCTTTCTCCAAATGGATTCTTTCGGTATCTCCCAAGAAGCCAAGAAAAGCACAAAATATTACATGCCATATATAGAAGCAGACATAAAACGTACTCAGAACTCAGAAGTCACAACCAATATATACAAGAGTTAGAACTCAGAATGGAATTGATCCCAATCGCCAGAAATGAAAGATCTGATTTCCATAATCTCCCTACTCAGAGGATGTGTCACTCCACAGTCATTCATCGCCTACTGGAGAGCTTCTGTTTCAATTTCCTTCCTCTCCTCTGCTATTTCTGCTGCGTCAAAGTATTTCCAGTGATTTGTATGCGTATACCTGTGAACTAGCTAGACACTGTACCCGCGCTAATAATTTTATGGGAAAAAGACAGAAAAATGCAACTTTAACTTTAGAATCTCAAAACGTCTGCCGAATTCAAGAAATCCCATTTTGGTACCATGAGACCAAATTGGGATTATTATGTGAAAGGAAAAGATCAAATTGCCCTTCATTTTAAATATTATTTTTAAAATATCACAACCCCTACTGGCTAGCCAGTCACTAGACCTCCAGCGGCGGTGGTCATCAGAGCTCTGGCGACCAGCCGACAATTGGTCACCGGAGCTCCGTCGGTTGGAAATTTTTTTTTTTGAAAATTTTTACAACTTCAATATAACAGTTAACAACTTTTGTAATGCTATTAACAATTTCAGTATAGCAATTAACAACAGCTTTTCTGGGAAATTCAACAAACTCCGGCAACTGGAAACAAATTTTTTTAAAATTTTTACAACTTCAATATAACGGTTAACAACTTTTGTAATGCTATTAACAACTTCAGTATAGCAATTAACAACAGGTTTTCTGGGAAATTCAATAAATTCCGCCGACTGTTTTGAAAATTTTTATAACTTTAATATAACGGTTAACAACTTTTGTAATGCGATTAACAACTTCAGTATAGCAATTAACAACAGCTTTTCTGGGATTGCTATACTGAAGTTGTTAATGGCGTTACAAAAGTTGTTAACCGTTATATTGAAGTTGTAAAAAATTTCAAAACTGTCGCCGGAGTTTATTGAATTTCCCAGAAAACCTGTTGTTAATTGCTATACTGAAATTGTTAATGGCGTTACAAAAGTTGTTAACGGTTATATTGAAGTTGTAAAAATTTTCAAAAAAATTTGTTTCCAGTCGCCGGAGTTTGTTGAATTTCCCAGAAAAGCTGTTGTTAATTGCTATACTGAAGTTGTTAATAGCATTACAAAAGTTGTTAACCGTTATATTGAAGTTGTAAAAATTTTCAAAAAAAAAAATTTCCAACCGACGGAGCTCCGGTGACCGCCGCCGCCGGAGGTCCGGTGACCGGCCGGCCAGTAGGGGCTGTGATATTTTAAAAATAATATTTAAAATGAAGGGCAATTTGGTCTTTTCCTTTCACATAATAATCCCAATTTGGTCTCATGGTACCAAAATGGGATTTCTTGAATTGGGCGGACGTTTTGGGGATTCTGAAGTTAAAGTTGCATTTTTCTGTCTTTTTCCCTAATTTTATTGTAAATTTCAATATCGAAATGCCAAATTAATATTACATCAGAAATTAAATTTTAAATTTTGTCAAGAAGTGAAATGATATAGTAGTGAATTGATGACAGGCTCTATATATATAAATATATATATATATATATATATATATTTTGCCAACTATATAAGGGCAATGCTCAGCAATTCAAAGGATCTCAAATGCCCCTTGATTAGAATAGTATTTAATAAATTCTTATGAGTAAAAATCGTTAAATTTTAAATCCCTTAAAAAATTGGGATAATCTGAATTTCAACAAACCACCTAATTAAAAAACTAATAAATTGCTAAATATTAGGTTATTATCATTTAATTACTATGTGAAACTGGATAATTACAAGGGTTAAAGTCAGCATCCTAAAATATTTTTCAAAGTACATTTAGCATTTAAAAAATACTAGTAGTGCACCTCCTGTTATATTAAAAATTGATCAATCCCACCCCAAGGCACTAATTGCCCAGCATCTCGTTCAACCAAAAAAAAAAAAATATCACAACACACGTGTAAATAAGGGAAATATGGTATAATCCTGATTGGAATTTGTGAGAACCTTTTAGTAGTCGCAATCTTGTCTGATACTCTCCTGGTTTTATTTATAATGTAAAGAGAAAATATATTTTTAATCATATTTATAGGTAGTGAGAAAATTTTTTTATATGGATGTATAATTTTACTCTTCATTTATTATTATGTTGATTTTATTTACATGATATATAATATATATTAAATAAGAATAAAATAAAAAAGTTATTGAATTTTAAATAAGAGTTAATAAAATTTGAGATTTTTCTTGCTCCGTGTGAAATATGTTAAAAGTAATTTGTAAATAGGACCAGAAGAGTATCATTCAATTAATAAGTTGTTTAGGAAAAAATTTTCCCAATAAATAAAGACTTAGAATAAAATAAAAATGTATTGAAGTTAGTATATAATATAATGTATTTATAATAGTTCCAACATAAAATGTTGAGCTGCCCCTGTAAATGCCAAAATAACGTTTGAAACAAATAACTTTAGACGACTAAATATAAGCGAAGAATGCCCAATAATGATCCCTTTAAATAGGTTTTACAACAAAAAAAACCAAAACAAAGAATTTGTAAATGGATTTTTAATTGTTATCAACAAAAATTAAAATTAATCTATAATTTGAATTGGTTTAGTCCAACGGAATACATTTAGATAATTATTTTTTCAAAAAGAATTTGAGAGACACAAATCATCACACGTTACGACTCACCAAAAAAAAAATACAAAGAGACCCTTCCAACTCATCATCCAAGTATATTTATAGATCAATAACTAAAATCATTAATATTTTTTCTCTATACACTACTCTTTTTAATTTTTAAATAAACTTGGAAAAGGCAAAATGGTATGTTGAATAATAATAGAGTTCTAACAGTACAACAAAAAAAATTAGAAAAATAAAAGAAGACACATAAAAAAAAAAAAAGGAAAGAAAAGGCATGAATAGCCCTAACAATTACAGAAGAAATGTGACAAAACAACTTGAAGGTATCTCTATCTAGAATAACTTTAGAAGATGCCACTTTAGATGAAAAGTGAATGAAGCAACACAAAGTATTTCCAAATTAGGCTTGAACTTGTGATTGGAAAAATCTACCCTTTCTATCCAATTGCTTTGAAGACTTATCTGTGCACAATTAATTACATATTAATAATATCTTTTCAATTTCAGTTCCACACACTTCATCTGATGCAATTTTATATTAACCAAATACAATGTATACAATAGAAGATCCATAGATAAGCACATATCATCATGACACTCGAATGCATTAAAATGAAGAATTCTAAAAGACGAGAAATAAAATTTTTGTTTTTATTGAAAAAAACCACAGAGACCAAAGGGGAAAAGCTTAAACAGTGACGAATCCAAAAGGAAGGTAAGTGAGATCCTTTGGAAAAAATAAAACTGGAAATAAAACTCTAATTGAAAAATTCAAATATAAGCAGAAGAAGATAATTTCATTTCATAAAAACCAACCAATTAATAAAATGATAATCTCGATAATTAATTTTAGGTTAAGCACATAAATATCAAAGAATGCTCTTGAAGTAATGGCTAATAATTATAATAAACATTTATGGCTTGAATCTCCAAAAAAATCGCAATAGATCGGCCACTGTGAGCATTTATTTATTTACTTTATGAAACACGATAACTTCGTTGGGGAAAAAGATGAAACACGATAATTACAACATTTATCTCAACACAATAATTAATCACCAGATTAATAAACAAAATAATTAATAATGACTTCACTTCTTAGGCTCCAAACTTTGGCTTACTAGGCATTAAATCAAATTAATAACTTAGTTAGAAAATAAATTGATTAAAATAAAAAAGATCAAATGTTTGATCACCTTTGAACTAAAAAAAAAAAAAAATTCCTCGAACATCCCCACCAATATCGAATGATGCTCTTCAAAGAAATGCTTATTTTATCTACTACCTCCGGTCCTATTTATAAGAGCTAGTTGATTAATTTGAGGAGATTAAAAAAAAGTTAAGTTAGTTATCTATAATAAATATATGTTGTCTTTCCTAAAGTATCCTTACTAATCAAGTGTATTGGCGAAATTATTATTGTTAGAAGGACTATCTTGGAAAAAAAGGACATAAATATGAAATACAAAGTGGATTGAGATCTTATATTTAGAACCAAAATAAAAATCAAATAAGGTCTTATATTAAAGATCGTAGGTAGTATTATTATAAGAATTTAAATTTTGAATGCTCCGACAAATTGCAATGACTCCTCCATTTGGAAGTGCTCTTCAAGGGGGATCGGATAAGCTCCTCGATTGGAAGTGAAATTTGGCCCTCCTCTCTTCCAACATGATTTTAATGACTCTTAACAATCAGCTCGCTATTCATTTCTTCTAAGCGCTGCTCCATAATCATTGCTACAGTAAGAACCCCAAAAAAAAAAGAAACATAAGGCAGTGGAAAGAGAACAGCACATCAACCAACAGGCTATTTGGATTCACTTAAAAATGACCTGTAAGGCGGACAGAAAGATTCAACAGGATGCAAGTTGCCTGTTCGGATGCAACCAACTGGAACCACCTATGCACCTTCTTTGTGAGTGTGTTAATGCTAAGGAGAGGTGGAAATCGGTGATCAGACCTTCAATGTGGAATGTATTCCTAGCCAAGCAAGGAGCGGATTGGGTTACTTGGAATCTCACTAAGGAGGGGGGAAAGGACCAAACTAAGAAAATCCCATGGCCTACACTCTTCAACTATATTTGTTGGGGTATCTGAGTGGCTAGGTGCAATCATCTGTTCAATACACCTAGCACAGATAACTCTAACAATGGGTTTTCTAGTTTATTCAAAGCTTGCCTAGACCATGACCTCTCAAAACAATGCAGTTTTTACAATCTTAATGGAACAAGGGAGGGACAAAGCAGAGGGATAGCAGAAAGTGGAGTCAAGTTGGCAGTAGATGGCTCTGTTTTACAGGATGGGCAAAGCAGATGTGGTGGGGTAATATAGGATAGAGCGGATAATTGGATCTGTGGATTGAATTGTAAGCTCAGCAATGCACCACCTACGATTATGAAAATGATTGGGATTATTTATGGTCTTAACTTGTGTTGGAGCAAGAACTTCAAGGAAGTCTCACTCTACGCAGACAGCCTAGAAGCCATCAACCTAATTACTAGGGGTTGTGATGGTCAACATCCTTTTAAGGATATTATTGATGATGCTAGATTGATTTTAAACAGGAACTAGATGGTCAATATTTATCATGTGTATAGGGATGAAAATCACTTAGCTGACTATCTTGCTAAACTGTCGCATAGTCTTGATAGGCCCTCTTTTTATCCTTAATCAACCTCCTCCTTTTTTCCAAGAGACGGAATGTGATGAAGAAGTTTAGCCTTTCTCTCTCTCTTTTATTTTGCTAGTCTAGCTTTTGTATCCATCTTTACACTCAAAAAAAAAAAAAAGACCTATAAGCTTCTTATGGATCACAAGCTAGATTGAACAATTTTTATTGTGTTTGGTTTCACTTTTGATCCATCTTACCTTTGAGTCAAAAGTTACTTATTTTTCATGATTAACACAAGCTGATAAAAGCTACTTCTGACTTTTAAAATTATGCTGATTGGTTTGTAAAAGAAAAAGCAAGTGAAAATAGAATGGCATTTCAACCACTAGTTTGTTTGGATTCACTTAAAAATGACTTATAAGCTTCTTATGGACCAAAAGCCAGATTGAACAATTTTTGTTGTGTTTGGTTTCACTTTTAGCTCATGTTACTTTTAAGCAACTTATTTTTCATAATTAGCACAAGCTAATAAAAGCTACTTTTGACTTTTAAAATTGTACTGATTGGTTTGTAAAAGAAAAGCGAGCGAGAGGGTGATGGAGAAAATCTAGACGTGGAGGGAAAAAATAGCCAAATTAACATGAGAAGATGAAAATGAGACTTCTTAAATTAATCAAACTCTTTTAATTAATGTTTTTTTTATTAAGGATAATTTTAATTTTAATATTTCTAATACATAATTTCTAACTTGTTAAAGTTATTTTTTATTTCATGTTTACGTAAATAATTTCTTATCATATTTCAAATTTTTTTCGATATATATTTCATTCATTAAATACAAAAATACCTAAAACTTACTTATGACTTATGCAAAAACAGTTTTTTATAATCAGAAACCAAATTGTTCATAACATATTAGTTAATTAATTATGTACTATTATTTCATTTAACTTTGTCACAACACTATGAATTTTAATTTAAAATTATTTTATCTATTAAAATTATGTCTTGCTTTATATTTGTAATAATTTTTTATAATATCTCAATGTTTTTGAAGTATATTTCAATAATTTTTTTAATCATTTATCATCATTTAATAAAACTCATACTCATTTAGGTAATTTTATAAACTAAACTCACCAATTTAAATTCATTGTATTATGTAAATTTATTTATTTATTATTTTTTTATTATATAATAAAACTCATACTCATTTCGATAATTATATAAACTAAACTTACTTTTATTCAATCATAATCCAAACGACCTTCTACCTAATCTAACTTTTATAAATTTTAGGAAAAATTACAAATAAAGACCCCCCAATATATAAAATGACAATCAAAGACCCTGAATTTGAAAAATTGCTGCAGAGGACCCGGTCCCAATTTGTAATTATGAAATGTGTGTTAAATGGCTGAAATACCCTTATGCTCTTCATGTCCCTTTCTCGTTTCGTCCCTTCTCTCTCTCTCTCACTGCCTCTCTATCCACATCTGTCTTATCCTTGAACCACTCCCTTGGGCCTTGGCATCACTCCCTTCGACCACCATAGCCACCCTTTCTCTCTAGGCATGAGCTCCGTCTCAGTAAATAAAAATTTGCAATTATAAAGAATATATAGATGTTACTTATTTGTTAAAAAAAAAAAAAGTTTCATGGTCTGTTTCTATCCTCTCTCTGACGGCACTCCCTGGTGACCCAAATCGCAGAAAGCATTACTTGCAGACTTGGCTTCATTGATTTGGAGTGCATATAAGGTTTTTGTTGTGCCTTCTTTAGGAATTCCAGTTCTTTTTGAGAATCAGTAATTAATAAGCGACTCCATACATGTGTACGGCTTTGGGGCGAAGGATATCAATGGTTTGGATTGGAAATCTATTTAGAAGACGTTCAAGGACGAGTTTGATGATAACAGCCTCCTGTTAAATGACCAGTCTTTGTGTTTAAGACTTACCAGGTTGAATATTAATTGCCCAATTTGCTGGTTTCCTACTTCAAGGTCGCCTAATACACTTTCAGGTTCTTGTTTGATAACTACACGCTGATAGTGAGCGAGTGCTTAGAATTAGGGGAGCCGTTGTTGTTGAAAGCATTTAGAATTATTAGTTAATAAGTTTGTAATTGTTAATTAACAAGTTAATTAAAATAATAAGTCTAGCATTGCTACTTGGTATCCAAGATTTATTAGCAGCAACTAAATTGTAAAAATAATGTCAAATTCTTATACTAAACTTGTTATTTCTAACATAAACTTGTCAAATTCTTATACTAAATTTATTATTCCTAACTACTTAACAAACTTGTTATTTTTAATTGTAAACTTGTCAAATCTTTATACTGAACCTGTTATTCCTAGTTACTTAACAATTTGTTATTTTCATTTATAGACTTGTTATTTTTAATTGTAAACTTGTCAAATCTTTACATTGAACTTGTTATTCCTAACTATTTAACAAACTTGTTATTTCTATTGATAAACTTGTCAAATTCTTATACTAAACTTGTTATTTTCAACTACTTAACAAACTCGTTATTTCTAATATAAACTTGTTAAATTATTATGCTGAACTTGTTATTCTCAATTACTTAACAAACTTGTTGTTTTCAATTATAAACTTATCAAATCCTTATACTGAACTTGTTATTTCTTGTTACTTAAAAAAATTTGTTATTTTTATTTATAGACTTGTTGTTTTCAATTATAAACTTGTCAAATTCTTATACTGAACTCGTTATTCCTATCTACTTGACAAAGTTGTCATTTTCATTTATAGACTTGTTATTTTCAAATATAAACTTATCAAATCTTCATGTTGAATTTGTTATTCCCAGCTACTTAACAAACTTGTTATTTGTTTTAATAAACTTGTTATTTTCAATTATAATCTTGTCAAACTATCATATTGAACTTGTTATTTTCAAGACAATACTTGTTATTTCAAACAAACTTATTATTTTCAATTACAAACTTGTTAAATTCACATATTAAACTTGTTATTTTTAAGTAAAGACTTGTTATTTTAACTAATTTGTTATTTCTAATTACAAACCTATTAACTAATAACTTGGTTAAAATAAACAAATCTTTACTTGAAAATAACAAGTGAATATGAATATTTATTTAAAGGAATGATGTTGTTGACCGAAGTGCAATCTTAAATCTTCCATTGCATAAATATGGAGTTTACATATTATTTACTTTGAATGCACGATAGAATGTATAGTTAGTAATGAGTTAAGGAATATGCTCTTTATCTATGACTCATTAACAGAGAAATTCTCTTCTCATTATTTACATCCAGTACAAAGAAGCACACTTTTTACAATCAAGTGAAGCCTACAATTTTCCTTCTCCAGATCTCTAAATCCAATGGTTACTCTTTTGCCCAGCACATAATACAATATCACTCTTCGTTCAATCACTCCCTTGTCAAAACACTGATTTTTGTCATATTGGAATTTTGCTTTTTAATAAAAAGCAAGTTTCTACTGGAATTCTGCTTCAAAGTTGATGAGATCACCGACTTTGGCCACTCTCTTCCACTCTAAAAGATGAGAATTAGCAAGTCATCGGGGGAAAAAGAGAGATGAGAATTAGCAGACAGAATAAAACATCTGATGTATATAATTTCTATCTTGTAAATATGACTCACTTGATCTGCACCCACAGCTCTTCAAAGAACCAAAAATGCAATATTCATTGTACCAATCTCAATTTAACACATTTGCAAGTACCAAATCATATTAGCCAACCAATTGAGAACAAAATACCTGACAGGTTTCTCAATTTATAACTGCATGAAAAACACCTCCGGCATATATCAATGTCAATTATGAACCGTAAAAAATGTAGATCATTCATGGTCAAGAGTTTCATAGTTTTAAAAAAGAGGGAACTTACTGCTTCATGGAAATCTCGAGCTGCAAAGTGTTGGTCCTTGACGATATTGTTGGCCAAGGATTTCAAACATCTCACAGAAAGCGAATGAGAATCATATATATGCATAGCTTGATCTAGTGTTAGAAAATGAATCTAAAATTTACTGTAAATTAATTACGAAGGAAAAAAATTCACGAAAAACAGGCATAAAAACGCACTTTGCTTGAAATCCACACAGAGATAAGCCCAAATGATTGTAAATTGCAGAGATTAAAAATATATCAGCAAGAAAGTTTTAAGATTACCCCTTAGGCTGGCATTTTTCTTGTAGGAGAAAATGACTCTCCTTTCAACTCTTACCGCTGAATGTTGAAGAAGAAGAATCAACCTCTCTTTCCTCTCAGATCTGGTCGCATCCTCTGGTTTCGTCAATTTGTCCCTCTCACCCATGATGATGAAGACGATGAGGTCAGAACATTTTGGAGGATCTTGAAAGACAAAAGCGGATTAGAAAAGAGGCGAAGAGGGAGAGGGATACAGTGGGAGGGATAGTGATTGCAAGTATGATTTTAGGATATGGGTTTGTGAGGACGAAGCAGAGCAGGATATGCGAAGCTGGTGGGTATTTTTGTCTTTTAATCAACATTTCATAATTGCAAATTGGGACGGGTCCTCTGCAGCAATTTTTCAAATTCAGGGTCCCTGATTGTCATTTTATATATTGAGGGGTCTTTATTTACAATTTTCCCTAAATTTTAGTCCAAACAGAATTTACATCACCTAATTTAATTTTTATCCAATTTAACTGTTTCAGAAGTCAAATTGATACTACGCTATTTTTCTAATCTTTAATCCAGACGAGGCCCAAATATGTGAAGTAAATACTGAGAGAGGGCATGTAACATGGAGAAATCAATAGACAGGGAACAAAGTGTGGAAACAAAAAGATCACTGTCGTGGGTGGGATGGATCAACTCTCGAAGAACCGCAAATAGTAAAAATTATCTCATTATATATCCAGATAACTTACCAAAAAGAATTAAACAAACTTCCACTGTTTACAATCGGGGTTGTCTAGTTTGAATACCAAGAAGTATCTTTAACACCTGGCCAGAGAAAACGGGGTACTGAATAGACAAGAAAAGTGAGAGATGCAGAAAAATAACGGAATAAAAGGGGTTATCAAAGTAGAGAAAAAGCCGTGTTCTGCCAAGAGCAGCAGCAGAGCTTCATAATCAACAACACCACCATAATCTCTTTAGTTCCTAAAAAATCAGCTCGAGTTAGGCACTTGAACTGTTAAAGGTTGAGCCAAAGAGATCAAAGACGAGAAGCCTTCAAATGAGGAAGAGAAACAATAGAGAATACAGCATAAAGTGAAATCAAAGAAAGAGCGAACAAAGAATACCTGTTCATGCGCCATCAATCTCCGAAGATTAGAATAAGCGAATTATGATATGAAAAGAAAGGGCAAAAATCGAAGAAACATTGCAGAAATCGATCCGTTGAAAAAAGGGCAGAAGTTGAAGAACCGTGTGGATACATTTTTTCTTGGTTTACGAGGAATTCGATACGTTTCGGATGCTCTTGCTAGATCCCATGAGACATACAAGCGAAGCACATGTGGACGGCTAGTGCTTGGCGAACCAATAAATAATGGAACCAAAAGACGAATACATGCATCAATAATTGAATGACATGGATCAATGGAGAAGGACCGCGTGGACCAATCACAAAATAGCTACAAGGTTTATAGATTATATAGATGATTGGTATTTACAAGATTCTTAACATGATTTTCAAACACTATCTTAAAAACTTTAAGAAAACGGCTAGAAATGTACAATTTTTATTTAAAAAAAATTGAAAAGCTAAATGTTACAATACAGCAAAAAATAATTATTTTATATTTAGACTGAAATGATAAATAAAATTAAAAAAATTTAAAATAATAAGTAAGTAAAATTTATTTATTAAATGATAATTACAATAACATAAACTTTGGAGGAAAAAAAGGGGTTAATATAATTTTAGGTCTCTTAAACTTGTCCTCATTTTAGTTTTGGTTTCTCGAGTTTCAAACTATAGGTTTTGGTTTCTCAAGTTTCTTTTCATTTAAAACATTAATTCCTATAATTCAATAAATACTTGGACCAATTTACCTTTAGAGGGACTTAAACCTATGGTTTTAAAATTGAAAGACCAAAAAATGATGACAAACTTAAGGGACTAAAAATTATATTAACTAAAAAAAAAAAGCTTGTACTCCATAGTCAAAGGAGCTTGCTGTAACATTCTAAACATGAAGAGGCTTTAAAATTTTAACCAAAGGTATGCCTAAAAAATAACAACGATTTTAATTTTGTTCATTTAAAATCAAAGGTATAAGACCTTAAAGTTGTCACCATTAAAACTTTTAGACATATTTTCGTTTTTCCTGATTACATTAAGGATGTTAATTTGTTGAATAGGGACTATGATTATGCACACCCTTTTAGGGTCTGCTTAGATAAAGCGAGATTACTTATTTGTGCATATTGGCGGGTTGTGACCAACGATACCCTTAAAGTTGATAACCCGGTGGCTGACTAGCTTGCCAAGCATTCTCACATTTTACTATTAGAAGGGAATAATTGCTTTTTTTCTTTTATCACGCTGCATCTTTTCTTTCCTGAGATAAATGATGATGACGGAAGCTTATTCCCGGCAATTTTTTTTTTGGTGTTTTCCGGTTGTAAATTAATGATACTTAGTTCTCATTAAAAAAAAACCCTTAGAAGTTATTAGTAATCAACAACTCAAGTTCAATAAAATGGTCCACATTATGTAGCACAAAAATTGCAATGGCATGAATAACAAAATATTTGTCATGAGTCCCATGTTGAGAAGTCTCAAAAGTGAAATGTGGCTTATAAATTTAAAGAGTTCTCTCCCTTCCAATAAGCTAGTATTTTGGAATAAGCTCTTTCTCTTTGATTTGGCATTATTTTACACAGGTCATGGATTGGCTGTTGGTACCCTTTCTAAACAAGCACAAAACATTCCTTAGTATAAAAGCAAACACAGAATGTCACAAGTCAGAACTAATATATACGTGCACGTACAGATTTAACATACAAGTGATGTTACCAGATCACATCAGTAAAAATTTCTGAAGCTTTGTTTGCCTCAACTACTCGCATTCTAGATTTGCTTGTGATGAAACCCAACCTTAAAGCGAATAATAAAACCTGAAAGAATCTGACAGAGTGTAGCTCTAACCAGAAAAGCCACAAAGAAAATAAGGGGAGAAAGAACAGAACACTCACACAGTATAGTCACTGGTTCTCACTCTTGGCCCATTAGTTATCCATCAGTTTGCAAGGCAACTGACAACTTCAGTTTCTTTTACAAAATCGAAAGAGTTAATTACAACATAGTAGCCACCTAAACTTTTGGAAGATAGCTGTGCAAGTTACTCCACTGCTTCAGGGGAGAAGTAATGTAGTTCAGTACCTCACATTGCTCACATGTGTGAATCAACTATGGATCTTTAAGGAGTTGGAACCTACTCCATGTCCTTGGATTAGCATCTTCTAACTGCTTGATAACATCTCTCATTGTGGGTCTCATGTGTGGATTCTTCTCTGTGCACCTCAAAGCCAGCAAAAGCACTGTGGTAACTCGTTCAAGTACATCTGGCTTCAAAACCTCCTTTGCAAGGCTTGAATCAGCAATTGTACTAATGGCTCCTGTTTCTCTCCATTGAGTTCTCACCCACATTCCTATCTCAGTTCCATTCATAAATGATCGGTCTACTGCCTTCTTTCTAGTTATCAACTGAAGCAAAACTATCGCATAAAACTCCCTAGTATTTGCTGTTGTATATGTACTCTCTGCGACGGTTTAATGGGAACATGTTATTTTATGCAAGCGTTCAGAAGTAAGAAAGAGAAAGAGGAGCTTCACCATGAGTAAAATAAGTACCCGGTGTTATATACCCTTGTGTTCCTGGAACTGGTAAAGATGGTGTTGAAGAAGACTGATCCAAAAGCTTGGCAATACCAAAACTAGCAATACAGGGATCCATATCAGAATCCAGAAGCATATTTTTTGGTTTGATGGCACAGTGCATTATGGCAGGACGACAATCGTAATGGAGATAAGCCAACCCATGAGCAATTCCAACAGCAATCCTATACCGGACTTTCCATTCTAGGCATGGCAATGGATTTTTTTCATGCAAAACATCATGAAGGTTTCCATTTGGCATGTAATTGTACAAGATCAGACAGTAGTCCTATTTAAACAAAAAGTCTAGCAATCTGACTAGATTTCGGTGCCTAATCTTTGTAAAGATTTCAATTTCTCTAGCTATCTTTACAATCTTTCTTTTGTTACCAGCAAATGCAACCTTCTTTACTGCATAAACTAGGGATGCTCCTAGTGAATATTTATAGACAACACCATGAGCTCCTCTGCCAATAATATTTGAATTGTTCTATTTTTCATCACGCGTCATCACTTTGTGAATAATTGGGTAAGAACCTCTATTGGCAGTGATCTTGATTTCCTCCTTGGAGATTGGAAATAGGAGCAGAGAAAACGTTTAGAATGAAAAGGAAGAATGATAGCAACTCAGAATTTAAGGATGCTTAATGAAGAAGATGAACGAGTAAAAGAAAGAGAAAGCACTCGACAATGGTTGTTGATGGTCTAAGATAATTGGTATTACCAAAACAATTACTCCCTCTAGTCCTTATTATAAGACTCTTTCTAGAAGAAAATTTTGGTCCTGTTTATAAGACTCTATGCTAGTTTCATTGAGCATTAAATATTTTTTTCTCCCAATATATGCCCATATTTAACAAGGGTAGTGAGAAGGTAGAAATTAATATGATGTTGGAGTTTAGTGTAGTTAACGAGGGTAATATTGGAAATCACTTAAATTTTATGGCAGATTTAACACTTTTAAATGTTTTATTAGTATGTGTGAATTGGATAGCAATCTCTTATAATAAGGAGCAGAGGGACTATAAGCTTCACAATGACCTCAGACTCTTATGCTCAGCCTATTCTTTTTGTTCCTTGTAAGGTCTTCTCAAAATAATGCTATTCAAGAGTAAAGCTGCTTTTGCAAAACTATTTTCAACACAATCCTCCCGCACCAAAACCCTACTATTTTGAAGAGGAAGTATCTATTGGACATTTTGAATTCATCTGCAAGCAGTAACATTAAGACAAATAATGCGAATTTATTATGGGCTTATGAGCAGTTGTTGCCTGTTTAAATCAATTTACCTGAAAAAATATGGAGGCTGCTGCAGTAGCAAGAGAACCCCCTAGGTGAAATGCTCTGTCATGCTGAATGGAAATTCCTGTACAAATTAGATGAACATAAGACCACAGCCCTTTCAACAGCTTGAATTTCAAGCCAAGATTTCAATTCCTTAAATAAGACGAAGTCATGTTTCATGACCAGTTCAGTTGAGAACAGAAAGCTAACGTCTAATGACAAAAATGCAGCAGAAAGGAAGCTTGATCGCTGAAAAACTAGAGAATATAGACGAAGAAGAAAACTTGTGCCTAGAATCATATAACTTGGAAGAGATATGATATATAAACTTAAATCACATATATCTTATCCTACTATTAACTAACTAGATAATGGTCCAATAATAAATTAGATAATAGCAGTAGTATCAGCTGCAGCAATCACTTCTGTGATTTCCTTTTAGAACTACCAATTTGTATGATGAAATAAAATTAAGCATTTGGGCAACATGCCATGTCAATTAAACCATGTGTCATACTTACCAGAATCTGAAACAATATGAACAAGGATCCGCACTATCATGTATTAGAATTTAATACCTTTTTTTTTAAACATGATGTTAATGACACTTGTCAATTGAATACAACTCCTACCTGGATCAGTGGGCGTTTCAAAGAATTCGACGACATCCCTCATTTTCAGTCTCTTTCCTGGATCGGTCTCAGTGCAAATTAGAGCCACAAAAGCAGTTTGATGACTTGCATTTTTACGTCTAAACCTGAAAGCTCCCTTACAAGGAATGAATCAGCAACCTCTTCAAGTTCATTCATTCTCCTCCATACAGATTTAATCCATCCACCAAAGTGGTTTCCTCTTCCAAAAATGAGGAGTCTAATACTTTCTTTCTAGTTATCAGCTCAAGCAAAACTACCCCATAACTGTATACATCAAGCTCACAGCTGGGCACTACCACACATGCAATCTCTGTCATAAGACAATGGAAGCATGTTAAATTATAAAGAAATTATACTTCTGATCTGTTCTCATTTGGTTTCCTATCTTGTTAATTCATCATCTGGATATATATGTTCGTCTTATAGGATGAAAACTATCTCAGTTTTATTAAACATGTGGGAAATAGAAAATTAATCCACTGAGTGCAGAAGAAGAGCAATTACCTGGTGCCATAAATCCACGAGTACCTGCATGATATATTGACCGTATCCGCACCATAGTAGAGGGCTGATTCAAAGCAATCGAAATACCAAAATCAATAATACAAGGTTGCATATCAGAATCAAGGAGTATATGCTTTGGTTTGATGTCTCTGCGCAATATGGGGGATCACAATCATGACGGAGGTATGCTAGCCCTTTTGCAATTCCAATAGCTAGTTTATAGCGGACATTCCATGCTAAATAGGGTAGTGGAACATTTTCATGTAGAACATCTTGAAGGCTTCCATTTTCCATGTACCTGCTAATGGTTAGACCATATTCCTCACCAATCCGGGAGCCTAGGCATCTTGCCACATTTTGATGCCTAATCTTCCTAGTCATTTCAATTTCCCTGATCATGTTTGGTTTCCTCCTATTGCTTTGGGCAAATTTGACCTTCTTGATAGCAAAAACTCCAATATCAAGTTCGGCTTTATAAACAATCCCTTGCCCTCCTTCACCAATTATATGTTGATCATGTAGCTGTTCTGTAGCATCTAGTAGGTTAAAAATTCTAGAAAATCCTTCATCGTTTGAAACAAATCCTCTTGTTCTTCACGGTCAACATTGGCCTCCCCATCAGCGAGTGACAGATGAGAGGCAAATTACAAATGATAAGCCAATGACAAGCACTACGAATCCAAGTGCTACAAATAAAATTGGTTTTTTACTGCCTTTGTGGTCAGTTGATTCAGAGTCACCCGGTTTGTTTTCGCAACCCGAGACATCCGAGGTTGAACAACAAACACAGAGGCCAGGATTTCCCAAGAAAGATGATGGAGATCCCGTTATCCCTTCTGGTAAAGGACCAAAAAATGAGTTGTATGATATATTGAATTTTGTAAATGAAAAAAATCTGCTAAGAGCTCGTATGTTTCCTGTCAAATTGTTCAGGGATAAATCCAGCCTTTCAAGCATTCACAAGCTATTAAATGTACAAGGGATCACACCTGTTAATTTATTAGAACTCAGATTCAACTCATATAAGTGAATCAATGATCCAATTGATCCGGGAATTACTCCTTCAAACATATTTCCACCAAGTTGTAATTCGAGAAGCTGGGTATAATCTGAGAAGAAAAATGGGGCAACCCCACTAAAATGATCATCCCTTAAAATTAATCTGCCCAAAACTGTCCAGCTCCTCATGCTTAATGGGAATGAACCATTAAGAAAATTGAATCCCACATCAAATGCAAACATTTTTGGTACAGTACGACAGATGCAGGGGCAAAGTGCCTCCTAGTTTATTGTGAGCAAGATTCAAAACCTGAAGGTTCACAAGCTTTCCTAACTCTGAGGGTATAGGCCCTGTAATGTTATTGGTGGACAAAATTAAACCAATGAGATTTGTGCAGTTTCCCAAACTTGATGGAATTGCCCCACTGATGTTGTTCTTGCTCATATCCATGTATATGAGATCATTATTACCTTCAAATTTAGGAATATGCTCAGAAAGATTATTGTCACTGAGATCCAACCTTGCAAGAGTTGCACATCTTCCCAAATCTAGAGGTATGCCCCCTTGAAGTTGATTAAGACCTAAAAGCAGTGTGCGGAGTTGCTTTCCAAAACAAAGATTTGGTGGGATGTCACTAGTAAACTTATTATTCATCAAGTCCAGCTTCATTAAACTGCTATTGATTCGCAGGCTTTGAGGAATTGGTCCAGAGAATTGGTTGTCAAGCAATGAGATATTTTTCAGATGCTTGAGCTCTGTCATCTCTGAGGGTAATTTCCCGAAAAGGCCATTATTATGAAGAAGGACATGCTTAAGACTCTGAATCTTCCAAATGGCAAGTGGAATTTCACCTGTCCAATGGTTGAAATACAATTTAAGGTCCTCCAATTTACTTAGGCTTCCCAATTCATTTGGAATGGCTCCCTCTAGTTGATTGGAATATAAATGTAACGACTTCAAACATTTGCAATTACCAATTTCTGAAGGTATATATCCTGACAAATGATTCTCAGAAAGATCAACATACTCGGGCAGACTACAATTACATAACTATGGGGGTATTGTACCTGAGAAACCATTTTTGGCCAACAAAAGTTTCTCCAAGTGAGTCAGCTGTCCAATTTCCGGCCCAAGATGACGTAAAATCTGAGATGCAGTGAGGTTGAGAAAGACCACATTCTGGTAACGGTCACATTGTATCCCTGGCCATGAACAAGGGGTAGAATCAGAGGACTTCCATCTTGAATTTAAGGAAGGAGGCACGGAAGTCCAGTGATTCAGGAGTGATAATAGAGTCAACCCATCCAAACTCAAGGTAGAAGTACCATAGAAAGAAGCAGACAAGCATAGGATAAATAATAGCAGCTTCATTGGGACTGAGATAGCAAAGGTTAAAGAAGAACAAAAAGTGCTTACTTTGCTGCAGCTTAGAACAAGTGCAAGTAATTGCTGAGGTGATGAAATGCGGAGCAGAGCCGAGTTTCAGGCTAAAATCGTTGCCGGCGTCTTCCTTTCATCCAGCACTCTTTTTTCCCCTTGCTTTTGGGAGATTCTACATCAATGACATTTCTTTTTCTCGTTTGTGCAAGATGCCACATCTTCCACGCTTATTATTCTAGCTACCAACTAAAGTGTGTCAAGCCTGTTTCCTTCTAGATACTCGCACACATGCATGCACCCATGTGCATGTATGTGTGTTTGTGTGCGCGCGCACAAGAATTTATTATACAAATAGATAGATAGAATGAAAGATAAATTTTACAATACAGTCTTTGATATCTAGAATGAAATGAGAAATTGAGACAGTAATTTTGAAGATAAAAAAGCATAATCTATTTTACTTTGGAAAAAATAAAAACGTTATCAAGTAACAACTACATTAACCTATAAATGAAAAATGATTGTACCCCCCACAAAAAATCCTAATATAATACTCTAATCCTATTTATAAGGTAGAGAGAGGTTTTTCTTAATCCTATTTATAAACAACTTCACTAATATTTTAGTATGAATGTACTGTTTTGTCTTTCATTTATTACAACATAAATAGTTTTATTGAGAAACGTATATATTAAATAGAGATAAAATTAAAAAATTATCATATTTTAACGGAGAATTAATTCAATTTAAGATTTTTCTTGATATGGTGAAGTATATTGAAAATGTCCTATAAATAGGATCAGAGAAGTAACTTTTAAAAAGCAAGGGCCAAAAAAATTTTAACCAAAGACATACAACCTTAAAGTTGGAGGATTTGGAGGAAAAGTGCAATATTTGGTCTTGTTCTACCTCATATATCCATAATTATTTTTATTATTCCCAAATTACCCATCCTGTTCCTTTCTTAGTTTCCTTTGTCCTAGTGCCTATTCTCACTGCGCACACCCTAACTCGGTTGCCCTCAGCCTCCACGGTTGGGAGAGATTAATAAATCCCCCCCCCCCCCCCTCAGCTCAAAGGAAGAGATTAATAATAAAACAAATCAAAACAGTAAATATAAAAAATTGAAAATTTGTTTACAAAAATAAGTTAAAGAGATAGAGAGAGTTTCATATGCTTGTAGCGTTTTCTACCTGACTTTTATGAGAGAGAAAAGAGATGAATTTGACCAAATTGAGCGGTTTTTTTACTCAAATTTAATAATTATAAAATATTAATTTTATATATTAGATATTATTATGATTAATTCATTAAATATTTTACAAAGTTTGAAAAATACAATTTAAATAAAATAAGAGTAAAATTACCTATATAAAAATATTTTCTCTCCACTTCCTTTTTGACATCGAATCCCTCTCCTCCTTTCTTTTTTAATCAATTCAAACGGGGTAATATTAAATGTCCTTCCCTTCTCTTACCTCCTCTCTCATCTATTAAAATCCCTTCCTTTCCCTTCTAGAAAGTTTAGTTAGTCATAACACATGAGTAATTAATTTAACAAGTTAGCACCCAGAGTTGAACAAAGATGGTCCCTGCTATAGCGACTAACATGGAATAGAGGAAGCTTTCGCATTGGGGTGTTGACTACTTGGTTGATGTGGATTTAGTACATATCATTGTCAATGTCTCTTCATTTGCTTTCCTCAATCCGTAAATTCTAAAGTGAAATCCCAGTCTTCCAATAGGGCTATCTTTACTTCACTGATTAAGGTACTAAAACTTTTCCCCATCCTCTTTGTACAGCTAGAAATACCGGCCAACTCACCCGACCTGCGGGTTATGCGGTGCAGTTGAAAAAATGTCAATCCTAACCTGTTCCCATCATCTTTTTTTTTTTAATTTCAATTCTCAATCTTTAAAATTAATAAATAGTGATCCAAAATCTTAAAAGTAATTACAAGTATAAATTATGTTTAACCACACTTAAAATAGTTAATACAAATATAAAACAATACATTACAAATATTTTAAATGATTAACATTCAACATCAACTCATCAAGTGATAAATTTTACAATTTTTCATACAAATATCATGTTTGATATGAAAAAACTATCTCTTAATAAATTAGAAGTGCATCTACCTTCTTTTTTTTTTTTTTTTAAAAAGCTCACTCACCATGTTTTTCTAAAACATTTTTTTGTGGTCATTAAAATTTTGTTATAAATATAGTATGCTTATTTCTTTAACATATCTTTTTTTCCCAAATATGTAACATGAAAATTGAAATGTAAATGAGGGAAGAAAATTTTTAAATATAATAACATATTATTTATGTAAAAAAAAGTAACGGGTTAGACGGGCCAACCTGCTAACCCGTAGACTAGCCTGCCACAGCCTACTGGTTATAGGGCTGGCAAAACGCCAACCCTAACCCGCTTCTTTATGGTGGGTTGACAGGCAAGCCTGTAGGTTCCAACCCATATTTTTGCCTCTACCTCTGTTGTTGTGTAGTTGGAGACTTTTTTTTCATTTATCAATTTATAAGAGTGGTGGATTAATTTGGAAAAAAACAATAAATATGAATATTTTAAAATTATTTATTAATTTTTTTATCTTTTCAAATAAATCAACTAGATCTTATATCAATGGTCAAAACTAGTATATAAAGAAAATATTTACGTGTGCCGAGGCGCACGCATATTTCTTGGGTCGTTGTACAGGTGCCGATAGCTACTGGTTTATCCACTATTCATGCATATGTTAAATATGTCGTGATTTCCCGTATTTGTTTTCTTTGTTCCTTATCTTTCCTTCTTTTCTCTCAATTGAGATTTTATGAACCAAATGAACCCTAATTCTATCCATTGGATTGTTTTCCCCTAAATCTTATCTAGCCAAAATAAAGGAACAACAAAACATGGAGTAAAAACAAAGGATAAATGATTTTTAAATGTCCAACTTTTCGAACAAGGGTTAGAAAGGTACAATAACAGAAAATATAATATTTTGAAATTAAAAATAAAACAAATCAAATAATTTTCATTATAAAAAAGTATTTATTATTTGTTATGAAAACAATAAATTTATTGAACAATGAGAGAATCAACATCATAAACAGGGAAAAAATTCTACTGCTATCAGAGGAGCTAACATTTCTGAGAAACGAGGGCAAAAGCTTTTCAACCAAAAGGCATAAGAGAATGCAAGACCTTAAACTTGTCTTCATCAAAACTACAGAGACTGTTTCATAATAAACAAACAGAGTAATTTAGAACCTCAGTTCAACAAAGATTTACCCTGTTATGTAGTAATATTGCAGGAGCATACATAGCAAGGTTGGTGGGTTGGTAGGTACCGAGTAGTACCTTTCTTTTCCCAAATTCGTTCTTGGGACAACTTCTACAAAGTCAAGAAAAAGGCACAAAACATTCCATGTCATGAAAGCAGACATATCAAGTCCCAACCAATATATATACAAGTAATGTTATCTGACTGATTTCAGTGCATGTGTGAATGACTTGTGCATTAAGTAGTTGGAACTTGGAAGCTTTTCACAGCTTTTGCTTGGTATGGTTATCTTTTTCTTGTTTTTGTTTTTTTTCTACAGAATCAATAAAACCCGATATATCTATCATAGGCAGTCTCACTTTGTTCACTTGTTCGAGTACTCTTGAATTTGGATTCAAAACCTGCTAATTGCTTGATAACATCTTTCATAGTAGGTCTCATGTACGGATCTGCCTCCGTGCATCTCAAAGCCAAGGAAAGCACTTGGGTGACTTGTTCGTGTACATTGGAATTTGAATTCAATACCTCCTCTGCAAGGTTTGAATCAACAATTTTATGAATGTCTCCTGTCTCCTCCCACAGACTTCTGACCCAAACCCCTATCTCAGTCCCACCCATAAACGATGAGTCTATTGCCTTCTTTCTTGTTATCAGCTGAAGCAAAACTACCCCGTAACTGTACACATCAAACTCCCTAGTGATTGTTGTTGCATAAAGATTTTCTGTCCCTGGCCGATGGAAAGATGTTATTTTATATGAGTTTTTGGAAATGGAAAAGAAAGAGAAAGTTCACAAGAAGTACCTGATGTGCCTAGAATAGATGAGGATGGTGTTGTGTCAAATTCAAACAAAAAATGGGCAGCACTGAAACCAGCAACGCGAGGCTCCATATCAGAATCCAGAAGTATATTTTTTGTCTCGATGGCAAAGTGCACTATGGGAGGATCACAATCATGATGGAGATATGCCAACCCTTGAGCAATGCCAATAGCTATCCTATAACTGACATCCCACTTCAGGGATGGTGGGGGGTTCTTTCCATGCAAAACATCATGTAGGCTTCCATTTGACAAGTACTCGAACATGAGAAAAGTTTCATCTTTTTCTGTCCAAAGCCTATGCAGTTTAATTATATTTCGGTGCTTAACCGTTCTATTCATTTTTTCTTCTCTCGTTATACTTGAGGGATACCCCGCAGACAACAGCTTCTTTACATAAACGGCTTCACCAGTACGTAACTCAACTTTAGAAAGAACTCCAGGAGTTCCTCTGCGGACGATATGCCGATTGTTTGAATTGGGAAGGATCCCGCCTTTCTCCTAACAGATTGGAAAACATTACGCAGAAAAACTTTCAAAATAAAAAGGAAGAATAATAGCACTCAATTTAAGAGATGCTTATATAAAAAATATGAACAAGTAGATAAAGAGAAACCACTAAATAAAGGTCTATATTACACACTATCAAACTGGGAGTGCCTTGGCACAGTAATAAAGTGGTCATTTGGGTTCGAGTCATAGAAACAGCCTCTTGCAGAAATGTAGGGTAAATCAGCACACAATAGACAAGTAGGTTCAACACGTAGTCGGAGTTTCATGCATCAAGCTGTCCCTTTCTAACACTAGCATCAAATCTAACTTGCCTAAAACTTGGCACTGACTACTTTATATGTTTATATACGTGCAAGCATACATACATATAAAGAATAACAACCAGCACAGACATCACAATGATCTCAATTCTCAAGTTCACCCTATTCAGTTTTATCTTGCAAGGCCTTGTCTAGATTTTTGGCTATTGATGGCCCTGCTCTTCACACAGCCCTCCATTTGCTATCAAAGAGTAAAGCTAATTTCTGTAACCAGAGGAAAAAAGTAAAGCTAATTTTTCAAAATGAGATGCCTAAGCCGTTTACTTTTCCCAAGAGATTTTTTTTTTTTGGGGGGGGGTTTACCTGAAGTTCATAACAGATTGGCTTCCCTCAAGTTCAAGATTACTAGACTATTGGGATTCTCTATACCTCGCAGTTTGTTCATGAACACTTGCATAGTAAACACAAATAATAGAATAAGGGGGAAGTGGAGTTTTCAAAGCTATTTTGACAGTAGTCTTGCAGGCTAAACCAAATGAATTACCTCAGAAAATAGAGAGGCCGCAGCGGTCGCAAGGGAAATTCCCAAATGAACCGAAGCTCCGTCGTGTTGAACAAAATTTGCTGCATCAGTTAGGCAACACATTAGTCTCAGAACAGAAAGGAAGCACGATTACATGACTTATGTGATTTCCTTATTTCTGCCAAGTTGTGCTTTGCAATTACATGCCCATTAAACAAAAATTTGTCAATAATTGATACAAACTAGTAGCAGCAAGCATAAAGCAGAAGGAGAGGAGAGAATATAACGAGATGTCGAAGAAAGAACGGAGAGGGGCAGCAATGATGCAACTCCAACCTGGATCAGTGGGTGTTTCAAAGAAATCAACAACATCTATCATTTTCAGTCTCTTTCTCGGATCTTTCTGAACACATATTAAAGCCACCAAAAGCGTCTTGATAACTTGTGCCTTCACATGTACATCTGAAAGCTCCCTTGTAAGGCTTGAATCAACAATTTCTTCAAGGGTTCTTGTTCTTGTCCATGTAGATTTAAACCACCCTGCTAAAGTGGTTTGCTGCTCCACAAATGAGGAATCTAATACTTTCTTTCTGGTTATCAGCTCAAGCAAAACTACCCCATAACTGTATATATCAAGCTCACACCTTGGCACTACGTCATAGGCAATCTCTGTCAAGAAAAGCATTCACAATATAAATCGAAAAAGAAATTACATTTTGGCTTTTATATTCATTTCTTTATGGGAAAAACGAGTTAGTAATTGCACAATGGGGAGCAAAATGGCGACACCTCTTTTATCTTGCACACTTACCTTCACGACTAGTTCATCATCTGCATAGATATGATCTTCCCATATGCCGAAAGGTATTCTAGTTTTATTAACATGTCACAAATAGGAAATGAGTAAGTCCAGAACAAGAGAAATTACCTGGTGCCATAAAACCAGGTGTACCTATATGATAAGTTGACCGCATGCGCACCACAGTAGATGACTGATTCAAAGCAAGGGAAATACCAAAATCTGTAATATAAGGCTGCATATCAGAGTCCAGGAGTATATTCTTTGGTTTGATGTCTCGATGCAATATGGGAGGATCGCAGCTGTGATGAAGATGTGCTAGTCCTTTTGCAATTCCAATAGCTATCATATAGCGGACATTCCAAGCTAAGTATGGTTTTGGATTGCTTTCATGCAAAACATCGTGAAGGCTTCCATTTTCCCTGTATCTGCTGATGGTTAGACCATACTCCTCGCCCATCAAGAAGCCTAGGCATCTTGCCACATTTTGATGCCTAATCTTCTTAGTCATTTCAACTTCCTTAATCAAATTCAATTTCCTCCGATTGCTCCGTGCAAATTCAACCTTCTTAACAGCAAAAATTCCGAAATCAAGTTCGGCTTTATAAACAATTCCATGCCCTCCTACGCCAATCACATATTGATCATGTAGATTCTCCGTAGCATTTATTAGGTCAACAATTCTGAATTCTCCTTTGACATCTGAATCAAAAGCCTCTTGCGCTTCACAGTCAGCATTACCTTCCCCCAAGATGAGAGCTCGAGCAATATCATTGTAGTAAATACGTCTCCGCACAAAAGACAAGTACTCCTCAAATCCTTGACCAAGGACCACCTCCTCAGATTGTTGGCCATAATGGTGGTCATAAATTAGTAGTGATACCGACAGGCAAATGACAAACACTACAGATCCTAGTGCTATGAATAAGATTGAACGTTTACTGCCTTTGTGATTAGTTGATTCAGAAGCACATGGTTTCAAGAAGCTAGGCTTTTTGCAAGTGGAGGCATTTGAGGTTGAACAACGGACACAGAGACCAGGGTTGCCAATGAATGATGATGGTAGCAAATTCAGATGTTGCGTGTTCCACTCTGGCAATGCACCGACAAAGGAATTGTGTGATATATTGACTTCAGTCAATGAAGAGAGATCACCAAGAGCATGTATGCTTCCTGTCAAATTATTCAAGGATATATCTAAAATTTGCAGCTTTTCCAACTTCCCAATTTCTAAAGGAATCTCACCTGTTAATTTGTTAGCACTCAAATTCAATCCATATAACAGATTCTGCAATGATCCTATCGATGTGGGAATTTTTCCTCGAAACATATTTCCACCAAGTTGTAGCTCGAGAAGCTGGACATATTCTGAGAAGAAAGATGGGATAACCCCACTAAAGCGGTTCTCTCTTAAAATTAATATGGTCAGTGCTTTCCAACTCCTCATGCTTGATGGGAATGAACCATTAATAAAATTGAATCCCACATCAAAAGTATCCATTTGGGTACAGTACGATAGCTGCTGTGGTAAAGGAGCTTCTAGGTTGTTGTGAGCAAGATTCAAAACCTGAAGGCGCAAAAGGTTTCCCAGCTCTGAGGGTATAGGCCCAATAATGTTGTTCATGGACAAAATTAATGCAGTGAGATCTGTACAGTTTCCTAAACTTGATGGAATTACTCCACTAATGTTGTTCTTGCTCACATCCATGTATATGAGATCATTACTACCTTCAAATTTAGGAAGAGGCCCAGAAAGATTATTGTCACTGAGATCCAACCTTGCAAGAGTTGCACATCTTCCCAAATCTTGAGGTATGCCCCCTTGAAGTTGATTAAGACCTAAAAGCAGTGTGCGGAGTTGCTTTCCAAAACAAAGATTTGGTGGGATGTCACCAGTTAACTTATTATTCATCAAGTCCAGCTTCACTAAACTGCTATTGATTCCCAAGCTTTGAGGAATTGGTCCAAATAATTGGTTGTCAAACAATGAGATATTTTTCAGATGTTTGAGCTCGGTCATCTCCGAAGGTAATTTCCCTGAAAGGCTATTGTTATGAAGAAGAACATGCCTAAGACTCCGAATCTTCCAAATAGTAAGTGGAATTTCACCTGTCAAGTGGTTGAAATACAATTCAAGGTCCTCCAATTTACTTAGTTTTCCCAATTCATTTGGAATGTCTCCTCCGAGTTGATTGGAATATAGACGTAGAGACTGCAAAGATTTGCAATTACCAATTTCTGGAGGTATATTTCCAGAGAAATGGTTCTCAGAAAGATCTATATGCACTAGCAGACTACAATTGGCTAGCTTAACAGGTATTGTCCCTGAGAATCCATTTCTTGCCAACGAAAGGTTCTGCAAGTGAGTCAACTGTCCAATTTCCGGTCCCAGTTGACCAATTATCTGGGATGCAGTGAGGTTTATGAAGACCACGTTGCTGTAACGGTTGCATTGTATTCCTATCCATGAGCAAGGGGTGGAATCAGAGGACTTCCAGTTCAACTTTAAGGAAGGAGGCGCAGAAGTCCAGTGGTTGAGAAGAGACAATAGAGTCAACCCATCTGAACTCAAGGCAGAAGCAACATATAAAGGGGCAAACAAGCATAACAGGAGAAATTGGAGCTTCATATGAAGAGCTAAAAGCACAAGCCACAATCAAGTGAACGAGAAGCATCGGATCAATAATTGGAGTTTCACAGAGAGCACAACAGCATGCTTTAGCCGAAAGTTAGAGTTGATGGAAAATGAAACCACAGTATTCAAAGGGCTAAAACGTGCTTATTTTGTGGCGGCTAAAAGCAAGGGTCAATTCTTCCCCTTTTCTCCAGTTCAACAACCGACCTTTCTCTATGCTTTTTTTAGTTTTTTATGTATTCACTTTAGTAATAGCAAGAGATCAATTTCAATCCATCTTTTTTTCCTTTATTTAAAGAAAAGCTGAATGAGATGGAAAGTGTAACAGACTTGGACAAATATAGTGACTGAAATTAAAAAGAGAAAGCTCACTCTTTCGAATCTTGAGTTCTTCACTGTGGTGGATTCAATAAATATTATTGTTGTCAACACCTCTTCATCCCCTATTATCATTTTCTAACATTTTTCCTTGGAAGATGCTAAATCAAATGAACAACTGTTCACAGGCATTGCAATTTGGGAAAGCAATGGAAATGTGATTTTCTAGTTAACTATAACTTTTCTAGGATATATGATCAAAATATACTTGCATTAAGCAAAAAATTCAGAACAAAGACTAGAAATACACAATAAATCATAAATTTTACAGCATGGCTAAAAAATATATACTTTTATAAAGAAAAATAAGATAAGAAGATTGAAGATTAAAAAAATTAATTTATATTCTTAGTTGAAAAATAATCCCTTAAAAATATAAAATTATAATTTGAGTTCTTCAGTTCATAAAATTACTGCTACAGACCGAATTTAAAATATGCATTATAAAATGTTCACAAAAAGACCAAAATACCCCGTTTCTACAACAAAACAGCCCTCATCCTCTCTATCTCCCCCCCCCCCCCCCAAAAAAAAACTCTCTTCCTCTGCTCCCTCCAGAAATGAAAGATCTGATTTCCATAATCTCCCTGCGCAGAGGATGTGTCCCTCCACAGTCATTCACCGCCAACTGGAGAGCTTCTGTTTCAATTTCCTTCCTCTCCTCTGCTATTTCTGCTGCATCAAAGTATTTCCAGTGATTTGTATGCGTATACCTGTGAACTAGACGCTGTACCCGCGCTAATAATTTTATTGTAAATTTCAATATCGAAATGCCAAATTAATTTTACATCAGAAATTAAATTTTAAATTTTGTGAAGAAGTGAAATGATATAGTGAATTGATGACAGGCTCTATATATATATATATGTTTTTTTTTTTTTGCCAACATATATATATATATATATATATAAGGGCAATGCTCAGCAATTCAAAGGATCTCAAATGCTCCCTGATTAGAATAGTATTTAATAAATTCTTATGAGTAAAAATCGTTAAATTTTAAATCCCTTAAAAAATTGTGATAATCTGAATTTCAACAAACCACCTAATTAAAAAACTAATAAATTGCTAAATATTAGGTTATTATCATTTAATTACTATGTGGAACTGGATAATTACAAGGGTTAAAGTCAGCATCCTAAAATATTTTTCAAAGTACATTTAGCATTTAACACCCTACAATACTAGTAGTGCACCTCCTATCATATTAAAAAGTGATCAATCCCACCCCAAGGTACTAATTGCCCAACATCTCGTTCAACAAAAAAAAAAAAATTACAACACACGTGTAAATAAGGGAAATATGATACTTCTCCGATTCTTACTATAAGACCCATTTAGCTAATTTGATTAGATTAAGGAAGTTAGGTAAATTAGTTAATTATAAGAAATGTAACACGTTTTTCCTAAAATACCATAATTATCTTTCTTAATACCTCCTCTCCCTCTTCTACTTGATTATGGTTAAGAGAGTATCCATAAGGGTAATTTAGAGAAAATTGATAAATATGAGAAGTGGGTCTTATATTTAGGACCAAAACCAACTCAACAATTGGGTCCTATATTAAGGATCGGAGGAGTATAATAATCCTAATTGGAATTTTGTGAGAACCTTTTAGTAATCGCAATCTTGTCTAATACTCTGCTGGTCTTATTTATAAGGTAAAGAGAAAAGATATTTTTTAGTCATATTTATAGGGTAGTGAGAAAAAAAATTTATATGGATGTACAATTTTACTCTTCATTTATTATTGTCTTGACTTTATTTACATGATATATAATGTATATTAAATAAGAATAAAGTAAAAAATTTGTTGAATTTTAAATAAAAGTTAATGAAATTTGAGATTTTTCTTAGTCTATGTGAAATATGTTAAAAGTAATTTATAAATAGGACCATAAGAGTATCATTCAATTAATAAGTTGTTTAGGAAAACTTTTTTCCCAATAAATAAAGACTTAGAATAAAATAAAAATGTATTGAAGTTAGTATATAATATAATGTATTTATAATAGTTCCAACATAAAATATTGAGCTGCCCTTGTAACTGACAAAATAACGTTTGAAACAAATAACTTTAGACGACTAAATATAAGCGAAGAATGCCCAATAATGATCCTTTTAAATAGGTTTTACAACAACAAAAACCAAAACAAACAATCTGTAAATGGATTTTTAACTGTTATCAACAAAAATAAAATTAATCTATAATTTGAATTGGTTTAGTCCAACGGAATACATTTAGATAATTATTTTTTCAAAAAGAATTTGAGAGACACAAATCATCACACGTTACGACTCACCGAAAAAAATACAAAGAGACCCTTCCAACTTATCATCCAAATATATTTATAGATCAATAACTAAAATCATTAATATTTTTTCTCTATACAATACTCTTTTTAATTTTTAAATAAACTTGGAAAAGGCAAAATGGTATGTTAAATAATAATAGAGTCCTAACAGTACAGCAAAAAAAATTGGAAAAATAAAAGAAGACACATAAAATAAAAAAAAAGGAAAGAAAAGGCATGAATAGCTCTAACAATTACAGAAGAAATGTGACAAAACAACTTGAAGGTATCTCTATCTAGAATAACTTTAGAAGATGCCACTTTAGATGAAAAGTGAATGAAGCAACACAAAGTATTTCCAAATTAGGCTTGAACTTGTGATTGGAAAAATCTACCCTTTCTATCCAATTCCTTTGAAGACTTATCTGTGCACAATTAATTAAATATTAATAATATCTTTTCAATTTCAGTTCCACACGCTTCATCTGATGCAATTTTATATTAACCAAATACTACCTCTGATCCTTAATATAAGACCCTGTTTGACTTTTATTTTGGTCCTAAATATAAAACCCCAATCCACTTTGTCTCTCATATCTACTCAATTTTTTCCAAGATAGTCCTTCTAAAAATTATAGTTCTAGTTAATACACTTGATTAGCAAGGATATTTTAGGAAAGACAACACCTATTTAGGACAAATAACTAACTCAACTTACTTCTTTAATCTCCTCAAATTAGTCAACTGGCTCTTATAATTAGGATCGGAGGTAGTACAATGTATACAATAGAAGATCCATAGATAAGCACATATCATCATGACACTCGAATGCATTAAAATGAAGAATTCTAAAAGACGAGAAATAAAATATTTGTTTTTATTAAAAAAAAAACCACAGAGACCAAAGGGGAAAAGCTTAAACAGTGACGAATCCAAAAGGAAGGTAAGTGAGATCCTTTGGAAAAAATAAAACTGGAAATAAAACTCTAATTGAAAAATCCAAATATAAGCAGGATAATAAGCAATTAAATTTTGAATCATCTAATGAATCGTGATAAATACTCAATTTATGGAGCAAATCTAAATTTAATCAATGAATCAATAAAAAAAAATAAATATAAAGAATAAACAAAAATAAGCGCAATATTTTTTTTCATTTTTCTGTGCATTTTTTTTTTCATTAAAAAAAGGAAATTCTCCCCTAGAAGATAATTTCATTTCATAAAAACCAACCAATTAATAAAATGATAATCTCGATAATTAATTTTAGGTTAAGCACATAAATATCAAAGAATGCTCTTGAAGTAATGGCTAATAATTATAATAAACATTTATGGCTTGAATCTCCAAAAAAATCGCAATAGATCGGCCACTGTGAGCATTTATTTATTTACTTTATGAAACACGATAATTTCGTTGGGGAAAAAGATGAAACACGATAATTACAACATTTATCTCAACACAATAATTAATCACCAGATTAATAAACAAAATAATTAATAATGACTTCACTTCTTAGGCTCCAAACTTTGGCTTACTAGGCATTAAATCAAATTAATAACTTAGTTAGAAATAAATTGATTAAAATAAAAAAGATCAAATGTTTGATCACCTTTGAACTAAAAAAAAAAAAAAATTCCTCGAACATCCCCACCAATATCGAATGATGCTCTTCAAAGAAATGCTTATTTTATCTACTACCTCCGGTCCTATTTATAAGAGCTAGTTGATTAATTTAAGGAGATTAAAAAAAAAGTTAAGTTAGTTATCTATAATAAATATATATTGTCTTTCCTAAAGTATCCTTACTAATCAAGTGTATTGGCGAAAATTATTATTGTTAGAAGGACTACCTTGAAAAAAAAGGACATAAATATGAAATACAAAGTGGATTGAGATCTTATATTTAGAACCAAAATAAAAATCAAATAAGGTCTTATATTAAAGATCGTAGGTAGTATTATTATAAGAATTTAAATTTTGAATGCTCCGACAAATTGCAATGACTCCTCCATTTGGAAGTGCTCTTCAAGGGGGATCGGATAAGCTCCTCGATTGGAAGTGAAATTTGGCCCTCCTCTCTTCCAACATGATTTTAATGACTCTTAACAATCAGCTCGCTATTCATTTCTTCTAAGCGCTGCTCCATAATCATTGCTACAGTAAGAACCCCAAAAAAAAAAGAAACATAAGGCAGTGGAAAGAGAACAGCACATCAACCAACAGTCTATTTGGATTCACTTAAAAATGACCTGTAAGGCGGACAGAAAGATTCAACAGGATGCAAGTTGCCTGTTCGGATGCAACCAACTGGAACCACCTATGCACCTTCTTTGTGAGTGTGTTAATGCTAAG